CCTGAGATAGAGACTGATTATGTGTGTATGTCCTCTACTGAGAATGAATCTTTTCTGAACAGATTGTTTTCAAAATCAGTCTCAGAGCAATCCTGTTTGTCTTCCATCATTGCCAATTGAATCCTTCTTTCTTAAATCTCCCTGAGATTGTCCTACTGTGATTACAAAGATTGCTTAGTTTGCAGCTTCAAGCTATTGGTGACCTTGGAAAACACAAAGCGACCTTTACTCACCTTGTATTTTGTGACTACAAGGAGAAAATCCTTGGGATACTTATTCAAATAGTTGTCACAAAAAAGAAGTGAAAAATCTAGTTAATAGACATCAGAGGGAAAGGCCTGAGAGAACAGTAGGACTAGGAGCTGGAGCACCCTCTACCTACTTGCACGTGGGCACTTTGTTTCACCCTGTTAGGCTGCATCTGGGCATCTTCCTAAGCAATCTCCATCTGCTGGCTGTAGGAGGAAACCTTGTAAGGGTCCCACAAGTCACTTGTGAGCAGGAAAGACACAAACTGGGTATAGTCTCACCATGCTCCTTTTACCCCATCTGCCAGCCAAGGGAACAGAGGCCCTGTGTCTTGGTTCACACAGCTTATATGTGTCTGATTCTTTCACCACATCATGTTGCCCAGGCCCCCTTCTGTCATCCATCTTCGTAGTGCTGCTTCCTACCCTTCCTTAGAACCTTCCTTGCCTGGGTTCCACGATCACTCGGGTAGGTCTGTCTGAGCCTTCCGAGCCTGAGGCAACCACAATGATCAGGAGGAGGCGTTGGTATCCCTTAGTTTTTAGCAGGAGCAGCAGCAGCAGAAACTGAGGAACAGACACAGACAAGAATCTAACAATGTGCATCTGGTTCCTAGGCCACTTGGGGACCTTCCACATTGCTTCCATCCCATAACGGTTCCCAGATGTGCAAAGCACATGAGAGCCCAGTTCACTCTCTTTCCCCTCCTCTCCAGGATATCCCCAGAACTGCCATCTCAATGAGTCCATGGGCCTCACACACTATCGTGGATCCAAATAAATCCTGTAGCATTCCCAAGAAGACCCAACAGTCTTTCAGACACATTTAGTTAGTAAACTTGCTTCATTTCTGTCTCTTCAGTTGATCTTTGTGATGGAAGGTGTGTTGAGAATTTATTTTAAGCCTGTCAATCCTTCAATTTTGTGGCCCCCTGTGTTGTGAAGAAAGACAGTGTGGCAGACTAGACTCAGGGGTTCTCTGGACTCTCTGTTTTGCTTAGGCTCCCAAGAGTCTCAGTTGTTACATTCCACAAACACTAGTTTCTTGCTTTTGTAGCATCTCTTTCCAATCTGGGCTCTGTGACATGAGACCAAACAATGGAATAAAATCACAGTATTGGCAAGATGGTCAAAATGCACCTCCTCTCAAACCTACCTTGTGGCTTTGTGTCAAATTGGGGAGAAAAGTATGTTACAGACTCCATATACCTAATCTCTGAGAGGTACATTTCTTCACTGACAAAAAAATAAAGCCACATCTCAAACTGTAGAATCCAGACAAATCCTATTATTCAAATCGCAATCTTTATGATGCTGTCTTCTCCAAATCCAGTAGAGAGTCCTCCTTTTTCCCTTTTAGATGTTAGCTGTAGAGATCAAAGTTAATAGAACAGAATATTTGTCAGTGCTTATTTCCTCTATTCTGGTGTATCCAAAAAACCCTAATCTCAAAAATGACTTGTCCTGGGATTCATTTTTTCCACTCTCTTCCAAACCTTCCTCAATTTCTGTCTTCCTAGGTAGCAACAATGCTTCCCTCTGGATTCTACTTTGTTGAGGGTCTTCAACATACAGTATGTGTTCTCTTCCTTGTTTGTGTTTTAGCCATCTGGCTGCACAGGGAGCCTGTCTTTCCCTCGGAAGGATACTCTGTCTTCCCCTCCACTAGAAGTAGCCGGAGGCCACCTGGTTCCTGGAGTCTGGACTGGAGAAGCGATTGCCTTCCTCCCCGGATGTAGGCACCTGTGAGGCGACAATTTCTACCCATTGTGCATTTCTGCTTGTGTCTCCTTTTGCCTGGATAATGTTTCTAAATAGACTCATCCCCAGCGCTTGCTTGGGGAAAGAGGCAGAGGCATATTAATTTGTTCAAAGTTCATCTTCATAACTTGAAAGTACCCTATGAAAGAAACCAAAGAGATACCCCAAACTTATCACAGCAGAACACACTTTTCCTCCCATAGTGAAGAAGAGAAGTTTTTGATGTCCACAGACATCTGGCACCCATGTTAAATAGAACTTTTGGGATTTTCCAAGCATTGTACACTTTCTAGTGGTAATGCTAGCATCTTGCTTTTGCAGATTCCATGTTGCCTAATAGAAGGTAAACTGGGTCCCCACGAGGACATGAAGTCTCTGAGGACAGCAAGTGATCACAATGCTCCTTCAGAAGGTCCCTGCCACTAGCAATAATTTGGGGTTAAGAAAAAAGGTCAAACATTGCTTCATGTCTACAGTGCTTATCTCAATCTATGTCTACCTGAAGCCTCTATAATTCTAATTCACACTGAGGTTTTAAAAGCAAACCTTTACTTTTCTAGTCTTTGGATACCAGGTCTGCAAGAAAACCCACTCAGCTCAGGCATGCCAGTACTCAATAGGGGGCCAGCAGCACTCGTGGTAATGCCCTGTCATCGATCCTCTTTCCCAAGGAGTAACCACTGCATGAAGTTACCCATCCCCTGAAATCTAGTGAGGCTTCCTCTTCATAAAATGTCCTGGCATGTAGAAATAGCCCAAACTCTACCTGACTAATGAGACCTAGATGATGAGTAATGAACCTCAGTCCTTCAACCAGATTAATTTTAATCCTTTTCTGAAGTTCAGACAAACCACTGCTTTCATTTTCATTTTGGTCAAATCCTACAGCTACAAGCTTTCCATCTATGTGACCTTGGAGAGGCCACGTTGCTCTTTGAGGCTTTTTGGGTGTCTTCGTCTACTCTAAGTGGAAATAATAACTATCATCTCATTGAGTTCCTGGGAAGATTCAGATCACTGTTATGAATGAGTCTAACATGATCCTACATTTAGGAAGCACTGAGTATGTTTGTTTCTCTGTTTCAGCTTGTCTCCCTTCCTCCTCAGGGCTTCTTTGCACAGAAGGAGGCTGTGAGTGGGACCCCATATATTCACAACGAAAGGTGTTTGCAGGACATATTTTGTAATAATGATAAACACAGCCCATAGGTTATTTTAAAATAGTCATTTTAATCATGTTTCACTGAACAGAAAGGGCTGAAACTGACTGGTGCTGTACCCATGAAAGGCTCTCATTCAATGCCACTCCACTTCCAGGTTCTGGCTGGTCATTTCCATCATAAACAGTAAGGCTATTAATTAGTAGATGGGCCCAGAAACTTAATTTGAGGTTTGTCTTGATAAGGTAGCAAACTGTAAGTCCCTTTAACTTGTATCAGCCTGAAAATGTACAGTAGAAGACTATTTCTGAACTTTTTCAATCAGAATGATAGCTATTTAAGTGTCTGCAGGATTTTTTCCCATGAGATCTAGATGAGGACTGTGATTTTGTTCTTTTTCTTAGTCAAGAGGAAGCATCATCCCTGAGTCTTATAACTTAGATAATTTGTTATCCTGACTAGAAGAATGTCCCTGAGAAATCAAACTCTGTAATTCAGTCACCGATATGATTAGAATGCAGGCTCTCTGGGGTAGAGTAGCAGGAAGACAAATTGCTTATCAGCTGTTCCCACCACCTAAGCCATGGGGCCAGCTGGTTCAGGCAGTCAGGGCAGGCTGCCCTGAGTGAGTGCAGGAGGATGCCCAAGAAGCCTGGGAATCTCAGTCCGGAGTGACCTCATTAGCAAGGTCTTCACTATTAAAGTAATGGAGGAAACCATCACTTGGTGATTAAAATGAATTGACTCTTCCAGCTCTTTGCACCCACTTTTATCCCCTTTAACTTACAGGAAGCTTGTGCAGAGCCTGTATAGTCAGAGAGAAGCTAGCAACCTGCAGGGAAACAGTTCAAATCCCTGGATTGGGAGGGGGTTTCTTCCATATAGCAAATGCTTTCTCCATCCTCTTGCCTAGGCGTAAGCAGATATCACAGAATGGAAGGACCAAGAAGCAGGGAAATCCCTCCCACCTCTCCATGCTGCTCATCTCTTGCAAAAGTCAAAAGTCTCAGACTACAGAATATTTTTAAATTCTGTGATTTCACAGGAACCCTGGAATGACTAGCTGGCAAAATCCAAAGTTCATCTCCTGCAGTCTTTCTTGCACTTGCCTCTATTCTTGGTGTCTCTTAAGTGTTTGTTCATGCTTCCTTTACTTAAAGATTACAGAACCTGCATAATTATGATACCGGAGAGCCAAATCCCTCTCATCCAGCATGGCTGACAACACAGGGTCAGGCTTTGGGGCTGTGAGAGAAGTTATCTCTCCACGAAACCTATAGAGGCCCAGCTATAACTGTTGCTGATTCTGGCTAGAATCTTCCAGCGTGCAATGGCCCTGTCCTCCAAGTCTGGCCCTGACTTCTACACCAAAATGAGTCTCCTGTGATGAATGGCACACTTCTTATTATCACCTGCCAGGGATGCAGTTACACTTGGGCTGGCCTGCTAAGGCACCCCAGGATTCTCGTCTTGAAACAGAACTGATATCCAGGAAAGAGGATGTGACCGGTCAAGGCAGAATCAGCCTAGGACCCTTTAGCAGTGCTAGACAACCAAGTTGAGTCTCTCCTTGGCTCAGCCTCCTGCCACTGATGAGTATTCTGTTCTTATATCCCAGGGTCAGGTGGACACTGAATCCTGGGAGACAAGGAAGTTAAACAAAGTGACTGACCAGGCTTCCCCACTGCACGGGGTTCCCCTCCAGAGTGAGGTGCCAGGTGTGGGAGCCCTACTGACTCTTGGGTTGCTATGTGGGGAGAAGGCCCTGTGCCACCCTATGTGGTGCTGGATCAGGTGTGTTTTAGCCCTTCCTTGCTTTCTCTCATTTCAGAAAATCATGAAACGGCTCATAAAAAGATACGTGTTGAAAGCCCAAGTGGACAGAGAAAATGATGAAGTCAACGAAGGTAAGCCACAAATGAGGGGCTCTAAGACATCACGTTCTGCAGAGCGGAGGCCAGGGATGAATCTCCCAATGCTGGGGTGTGTGGCTGGGGTGCTGGGTTCCTGTCTGGTGGCTCTTGAGGAAGACCAGTTCCCTCACTTGTCCACTATAGTCATGACACATTTCTATGGGGAGGAAGCACCCAAGTTTCCACTTCTTTGCCAACGTGGCTGTGGCTGCTGTGAGCCCAAAGCCAGGGCACAGACTGCAGCACTTGTATGTATATGGCTCTGTCTGTCAGTCAGCCCAGAGCCCGCATCATGTCACCCTCTGCCTCTCTGCCTGGCATCTGTCATCCCATGTCTCTACCCCAGTTTTCAGCTTCCCCCTTCAGTTTTAAGAAGGGTGTGATTAGACTGGCTCCACCTGAGTAGTCAAGCAACCTTTATTCTGCTTACAGTTTTATTTCCCGTTTGTATTTAGCGTACCATCTTCTCAGGTAAAACGCCAGAGATTAGGCCAGAGACATCAGGGATGAGAGAAACACTTCTGTCCCTTCCACAGCGATGGCTGCCTTGAGTCAACCTCAGGCCCCCTGAGTTCAGGATGGTCCGGAGTCCCGTGGCCACACTTCACTGTGTGGCTGCACACGTACAGGAAGCAGTCTCCACACCATTTTTAGGGTCTGCCATTGACCCAGTGTCAGCCACCCCATCCTGCCTCAGGTTCAGGTTCTCAGTCTTTGATGACCAGTTGTGTTCCTCGAAGTATCCCCTCCACTGGACTAGCTGTTAAAACTGCAGATCCCAAGCCCACCATGACCTAATGAATCAGCATGCCAGGGAGGGGCCTGAGGGTCCACTCTTGGGTGATAGCACCAGGTGACTCATGCCCACCAAAGTTTTCCAGCTACATTGTTCACCACTGGAGTTATTTTCCAGTCTATTTTTTTATTTTAAAGAGAAAATAAACAGAAAAGAAAAACAAAAGGAGACAATTATAAGAATAACAAAGAACCCAAAACAATAACAATATATGCTTTTAAAATAAGATGATAAGAACTTAACAATGGTTGCATACTTTTATCTTTAAAAGAGTTGCTTAGATTATCAGATATAGATAAGCAAAATGATCAAATGGTATATGAATATTAACTATTCTTTACCAAGAATAGAATTAGCAGTGTAATCATCTGAGCTATCTCATGTGTATATATATGTGAATTTATATCTTTTCCTTCTTTCTTTTCTCCTTTCCCCTATTTTCCAGTCTATTTTAAGCAAGTACTCTTAAGTCAAAAGCAAATGACCTTGTAGTAGGTCATTAATCTTTATGGCACACCTAGGATAAACACCTAGTACCTAGAAACAGCCCCCTCTGTGACAGGAGAACCTAAGTCTTTCCCTTGACTGAGCCATGGGGGCTACCAGGTCACTCCAGGACCACCTAGGTTACAGGCTCAACCTCAACAGTGACCAAACTGACTCCTTAGCCAACACTGCCTTGGGATTGGGTAGCAGCCCTTCAAAACCCCCACATATGCCTATAGATCTCAAATACAAAACCTCCAGATGTCCTGCCTGCCTCCTCCACAGTGCATAACTGTGGCTGACCTCAGTGCATTTGACAGAGAAGGGATACCCCACTGTCATGAAACTTAAACACGGCTCTACGGTCCCATGAATTGGGACCAGTGAAGCACTGGACAAAAATACACAGGACGTGAGTGCATTTCACAAAATGGGTCAAACCATGCATTTAATGAGATCACTGCATTTTATTTCTGTAAAGCATACCCGGAAATAGATATGAATAAATAGTATTTCTAAACCAATACGCTCTACCTGAGTCAAGTTCTGTATCTCTGGAATCAGGAAAGAACCTTCTGACTCTGGTGAATAAAAAGATTCCTGTAGCCCAGATTCATTGGACTTCATGGCTCACTATGAAATTTTAAAAAGTGAAAGGGCCCCTGGTGGTCCCTGGTTATAAGCACCTATGGTATCAGGTGGCAATGAGGTTTGTAACAGGGAAGTTGCTTCCTGAGCTAGAGAAGCTGGAGTGGGAAGCTGGCTAGACAGTTTCCTGAAAACATCAGTGCACTGAGCCATTCTCTTGGGCACTTGGAGTTTCTCTTCTCTGCAAGTATCAACACAATAAAACATTAAGTGTCATGAAAATAAATGTTCCAATTAATGAGGGTGTTGCTTAGTCTTCAAATCTGCCCTTAATGGTTCCCAAACCAACATTTTAACTATCATAATATAAAGTAGGTACTAGACACAATTCACAGCTCAGATCTCTACTCCTGCTTCCAGCTATAAAGAGAGAGGGTTTTGAATGGATGTGTTCTTTGGTGGTAGAAAGCTGGGTGGTACCCACCACCTCAACTGTGCCCCTGTGGGCTGGACTTGCTACATGGAGGATGAGCAACTTCCTTCTCCTCAGTCACACTCAGCAAACTCTCATCTGTCCTTGCAGGGGAGCTGAAGGAAATTAAGCAAGATATCTCCAGCCTGCGCTATGAGCTTCTTGAGGAGAAGTCCCAAGCTACAGGTGAACTGGCAGACCTGATCCAACAGCTCAGTGAGAAATTTGGAAAGAACTTAAACAAAGACCACTTGAGGGTAAATAAGGGCAAAGACATTTAGCAGCCCAGTGGGCATCTGTGACTTCTACCAGCATTCCCAGGTCAGGCTGGATGTCCTGGCCCTCACTGCTGCCTAGTGGAGAAGGGCCCCGCCCACTCCTCTAGAACACAAGGAGACCCACTGGCTCAGTCTGGAGCATATCACTGACTCTCCAGCCCAGGAGCCTGCCTGGACCCAGAATTGTTGTGAAACTGAGTTGGTGGGTGAGAGGAAGGTAGGAAGTGACTACTGAAACCTTCAGTCCAACCTCAGTGTAATCCGTCCCTGTGGCCAGAGCAGGAAAAGGCCATCTTGGATGCATTTGTATGTCCTCCACTGCACATGGGACCACAGCTCAGGCTTTGTCCTGGGAAGTTGAACCTCCTCATCCCTCCAAAGCTTTCTCACTCTCCTCGCCTACCCCCATATCCAACCAGAACCGGGAGGTGACCTGTGATCTATTCTTAAGTGCCAGATGAGAACACAGATAGCCTAATAGCAAAATAGCTCTATTTGTTTATAAAAAAATTTAAAAATCCTAAATCAAAAATTGTACTGTAGGTAGCACTGTTTAGAGAACAAGAAAATCCAAATGATGTATTTTTACCTTTATTAAGATTATCTTGTATTTACTATTTTTACCTAAAATGGAAAGAAATAAAATTACCTCACAAGAGCCTGGGGGATCTCTATGGATGTGCTTCTGGGGGAATCCTGCACCCTGTCTGGAGGTGGACTTGTGAACCCTTGGACAAGGGATGCCTTGGGAAGAGAGGCACCAACCACCGGGGATGCTCACAGCCAAGACTCTATTCCCAGATTGAGTGACCCCAGCCTTATCAAGGGCAGGTAGGAGGCAGAGGGAATGGTGAAGAAGCTGGAAAGCTTTCTCCCAGCCCAGCTTTGGAACTGCTCTCCTCCAGTGCATAGGAGGGAGAGGAAGGTGCCAGGAAGGAGACCCAAAACTCTGGTCTGTAGGAGCCTGTGTGAGTGGGGAGAACAGCCACTAGAGGGCGTGCAGTCCCAAACAATGCCCATTCTGAGCAGCCCACAGAAGATGCCATTGGATTCCAGAAGAGTCCACTGGTCCCAAGAAAGTATTAATAATGTTGTTAGAGACAGGAAACTCTTACTGTGGCTTGAGCACTGTGCTCAGGACTTTGTGTGCATCAGATCCCTGAGTCTTCACAGTAACCTTGTGAGGAGTGGTAGGGTTATCTCAAAGATGCCTTGGAAAGGGAAGAAATAAAATTATACACATATATGTTTATATGTCTTACTCCCTAACCTGTTTGTATTTAAATATGTATAATTATATATGTACAGGTGGTCCCTGACATAAGATGATTTGACTTAATGATTTTTTAACTTTACAATAGTATAAACATGATACTGTTCAACAGAAACCATACTTTTGAATTTTGATCTTTTCCTTGGTGATTGGTATGCAGTGCAACACACTCATGCTGCTGAGTAGTGGCAGATCCCTGGCAGCTGAGCAATCACAAGGGTAAACAACCAACACTCTACAGTGGACTCTATTGCCAGCATTTTTAGAGATAGTTATTCCATAAATTACATGAGATATTCAACTTTTTAATGATAAAATCAGCTTTGTGTTGAATCATTTTATTCAAATAGAGAATAATGTAAGGCCTCTTAGCACACTTTATGTAGGTGAGGCTAAGTTATGATGCTCTGTAGATTAAGGCACATTAGATGCATTTGTCAAATACAAAACACTGTACTTTCAATTTATGCTGATATTATTAGGATGCAGCCTCCCCATAAGTTGGAGAATGTCTGTATGTAAAAGCATAGAGAAACAGCTTATATTTCAAGATATACAGTATATCATCAGTGGCAAAACTTTTTTTACTTAATGCTACCATAAGAAAAGAGACATCAGGTGAATTGATAAATAGAAGTGAAGTTGGTCCCATAATGGAGGAGGGTTGGGATGAGCCGTGACAAACCCATCAACTGAAAATAGGTTCCAGATGCTCAGCCCAGCTGACAATTGCTATAAGTGAGCCATCCCAGTTTCGCCAAATCTGACCCATTTCTACGTAGAAAATGTCAACATTTGTTGCACCCCTGAGACAGGTGACCAGAGAAGATGTGGCAGCCCCACCTGTACCACCACTCCAGGCTCAAGCAAGAGGGAAATGCAAGCATCCAATGGGCTCCTCTTTGGGCCTCTGCATGTACAGGACACCTTGCAGATGTGAACCCTGGTTCAGCAGTATTAACCTGGGCTGCATGGGGTGATCAGTCACAGATGGAGTTCTGATTGTGTGCTACTTCTTGGCAATGACACATCTCAGCAGCTTCCCTTATACACTTCTAGGCCCATGATCCCACAGAGGAATGAATATCCTTCAGCAGATATTTACTCAGTCCCTTCCAGGGACCTGGAATGTCCATAAGGGTCTAGGAGAGTTCCCAGCCTTGGACTCTGAACAGAGAAACTGATACGTTTTGAAGACAGAGCAGTTGATTTTCCCAGGAGATAAATTATCACCATTTCTGACAGATTTTCTTTCAGATCTCCCACTTCTCTTCATCAGAATGCCAATAAACACTTCTGAGATACATTATTCAACTTCTCTATTTGCCTTCAACCAAGGGCAGCTGGTTTTCAAACCATATGGTACCATTTGTCTATCAAACCTGGGTTTCAAATTGGCTTCTTACAGAGACAAAGGAAAGCACAAATCATTGAGTAATTAAAACTGCAAAAACACAAAACAGCTCCACTCAATTTGGCTTTTAACAGCGTGACTTGGAGGTAAGTGTGGCCCAGCAATACACACAAGTTGATGCGGAAAAACGGGGCAGGAATCCTTCTGGGGTGGCGTGCTGCTGGAGAAGGCTGAAACTTCAGGCTTGCAGAGCACATTAGCCTGGAGCTTCCCAGTTTTTCAGGTACAGACAACCACTCTCATGTACTTGGCTCACAATGAATTAACCACACATGGGAGGCAGATTTTGGAGACACAAAACAGGGAAATGAAGAAAGGAACCTGAGAGAACTCACTAACAGTTGGGGAGGAGAAAGGGCCCAGACCCTCCCTGAAAACTCACAAAATTCCCATGAAGCATACATGTTTCCAAAGCTCTGCCTGTCCCCTGAAGCTCTCTCTACACGCCTGTCATCATTCCGCCCATGACTTTAATTTTGTGTCTAGGCATTTCGTGCCTGCCTCCAGGCTTACGCTTCCCTGGGTGGAGTTGGGTATCGTAGAGCATCTAATAATCCCAGCACACTGAGAGGCTAAGGGAGGAGGACAGCAAGTTTGAGGCCCGCCTGAGCGACTTAGTGAGACAGTCTACAAATTAAAAAATCAAAAGTAAAAAGGGCTGGAGAGGTAACTGAGGACCCGCTAGGTCCAGTTCCCAGAACTGCAAAAAACAGATGGGGGTGTCAAGTCTGTCCCTGAGATCTAGTGTAGGGCAAAAAGGAAGGTACTTGGTGTATTGTGCTGGCCCCTTGTGGTCCAAATTTTCTGAGGTTCCTTCACACAGAACCCTTAGATCCCAAAACACTCCAGGAGTTTGCACAAAGACATGAGCCATCCCGTACTCACCCTCCTGCCTGGGTGTGACTGAACCATGCAGCCCCTTTCCCTTCCAGTCACAGCCTAGCAGGAGGCCCCAATGCCTTTCCCAATGCACCACCCTGTTCCTGCTTGAGGAACTCAAGTGGCAGCAGCCCCTGCCACACTTCAGGGATAACCGGTGGTTAAGCAGACGTCTCCAATCACTTGTCACTTTCTGACGGCAATTAATAGGACCCAATTAATAGAACTCAACAAATCCTAGTGACACTTCCCAGACAAAAACCCCAATTAGCCTCCAGAGCTGTTGCTGATGGGCATGTGCTCACACACTTGAAAAAGCACAACGCCAGCCTTTGTACATCGAAGATTATCTCCTTTGCTTCCAGCAAGGTCTCAAGACAAAAATCGCTGGATACACGCAAGATTGGGAGATTCCCTGGCACGGGTCCAACTCGAAGAAAGCTATTCGCATAGCCACAGGCCTGAGAAGGCTGTGACCAAATGCCTTCTAGGGAGGCCAGGACCTCTTCACATAAGTGGCCTCCTCATATAGCTCCCCAAGGGCTCCTTTGTGCTTGTAGGAAACGTAGAGTCAGAGACCCCAGAGCTGTCGGGTTGCTGATGCAGGCAAACGCGCCTCCTTTCTGTGTTTGTCTCAGCTCTCCCCTTCATCTCTGGCACATGAAAATACAGGGGGAAAGAGACGTCAGGAGAATCACACAAATGTAAGTCAGACTACACAGGTCAAAGGCTCTGAAACCCTTTGGCCCCAAACTCGCAGACAGAGAAAACTCCTAAGCAAACCCAAGCTCAGAGGTCCAAGGTCACATGGGCTGAGTGCACCGTGGAACACTGCCCGCTGCCCAGGTGCCTGGGGTCACTCCTCTGCTTCCCATAGCAAATAGATGGGACAGCCTAGGCAGCCCACCGTGGCACATGTGCCATAGGTCCCCCACCGCCATCCTGTGCCCCTGCTTCAGGGAAACAAAGACACAGTGAGGGGAAAAATCAAGGTGTGTGGCTCTGGTTTCTAAGGCCTGGGTCTTTGGGGGAAGCAGGAGGGGACTGAGGGAAGAATCTAAATTGGAGAAAACCGGTGAGAAAGGAGCAAAGGGCTCTCCTCTACACAGGAAGACTTTTCTCAGACTGGAGCAGGAGAGAAATAGAGGCTGGTCATGAGCACAGAGCTGCCAAGACAGCTGGCAGAGAGGGTCTGGTGGGAGACCAGTTCTCCAACACTTGCAGAAACAAGGAGCAGTTCTGCACTGCCCGGCCCCATAGGAGCAGAGACCGGCTCGGCCATCTGCTGTCAGCATCCAGGGACAACTCTGCAGCAGACAGTCTCTGCCCTGGACCTGGGAGGGAAGATGCGGAGGCATGGAGGGGGGTTCCCCAGCCAAGGAAGGGCAAAGTTTCCTCTTTCAATGGTAACTTTCAAAAATACAGATGTCAGGTCCTCAGCATATCTGGGTTAAAAAGAGCCATCTGTACCACAACATAGATGCAGTGTCAGCCACACTGGCTGACAAAGAGGTCCATGTGTTGTAGGGTGACTGTAGGCAGAAGCTGTCCCAAGTCCTCACTGCCCAAAGTCAATAGCCTGCACCATGAGTTGGCAGATGGGGAGCATGTTAGGAAAAGAGAAGACAATTTTCAAAAAATTGAAATATGCCAAATAAAAATGTAGCTTTCGGGCTTCTGTAGGATAGCTAATGCTGGGGACGGAGATGACGTTCATCTGTGTCACTTCTGTCCGAGGAGGAGAAACAGAGAGATGGCAGGTACAGAGGTGAGGGGAGAGCACTGGGAAGAAGGGTATGCAGCATACAGGCCTTGTGCTAGCTGCAAGCAGATCTCACCCCCTCCCAGACAGAGGCTAGCACCTAACCCAGTGTCGCCAGCCAGAGGGCACATCTGCCAGGACTGACACCAATAGATTCCTCCCTGCCACTTAGAAGAGGATAATCTGTAAAAAGCCAAAGGACAATGAGAGACAGAAGAAAGATGAAAAGAGAAGAAAGAATGGAGGTGGGACAGACGAAGCAGAACACTGACCCCGGGTCAAGCCCAACCCTGGTGCTGTTTCCTACAGCTTAGATCTGGGGACCTGTTCC